TCACATAAAATTAAATTATTGCAATACATATAAATCATAGTTATTTAAAATTATTGTTAGGTTAGTAAATAATATAATTGCAACACTCACCAGAAGCTAAAAAAAAATAACAATGAATTGTAACTTTGACTACAAGTATACCAAAATATACACAATAAATAATACTCACTCCTCCACCCTGGAAATGAAAAAAAAAAAAAACAAAACCGCTATTAGTAATAAAAAGTTAAAAATATATCAAATAAATATAAAATTATCTTTTAAACATACCTTAAGCTTGAATAGGAAAAAATTACAATCAGGAATTTTCATTTTGATTTCAAATTTATTTCATGAAATTAAACGGCTTACTTACTGTTACCTAAAATAATGAACACGTTTTTTTACTCTCACGTAAAGCATTGCAATTAGGTTATATTGAAAAGTAAGGTATGTCGTTAATTTACAATTTTTTGTGACTTACGTTCATCTATAACAAAAAAAAGTACATTTTTCAGTTTTTTTTTGTATAACATTGTTATTTAATTGGTTACTAGGGAAGTACTTACAATGAGCTGTAAAATAACATATAAATTTAACATTTAATAAAGTTTCAAGCAACACCGTATATTTTAACTTTCAGTTCAATTTTAAGGTATAAATTTAAGTTTTTTAGTAAAGATCACTTAGGAAAATACTCAGTTAAATTCTTTCTTCCTTTGATACTGATCAAATTAAAATTTAGACAATGTTTAACGATTGTACTTACATCTTCCTGAAATGCATATATTCTTATTTAAGTGTGATGACTTTTACATATTTTTAGGTTATGTTTGTTGTAATTAAAAAAACACTAGAAGTGGTTCACAATTCCATATGATACTGGGTATAGGGAAAAATGGTTTTTATTCTTTTCGGACATTTGGTCGTATTTTAATGACAAAGTTTTTTTAGTCTACTAATATTTTTTACAGTATTCCAACTTGTAGGAAACTCACCTTTACCTAAAAAAATAAAGTTTTTTATATCATTTAAGTTTAATACAGAATGATTACAAAAAAATATATATAATTTTACAATGTGGACGTAACTACAAGGATTTTTACTTACTGGTTGCTGTAATTTTGTAAAATAGGTTAGAATATTACGATATTATATGCGATAAATTATTAATTGCGATAAATTTACTTACGCCCTATAGCTGAAACAGAGTAATTTTGTTTTAATTTCCGTAAAACATATATAAAGGACATTATTAGTGGATAAAGTCAACGAGAAAAATTATACTAACCAGTGAACAAGGAAACAGAATCAGCAGTAACCATGAAAAAAAAAAAAAAAACGGTATAAATACGTATTAAACTAATTTAATACTAAAGGTACACTGAGTTTTCATTATGGTCGAATCGCAAGAGAGGTAAAATATTTTATTATTTAAGTAGGTTTTCCAATAGACATTTTTTTAAGTAATGAAGCTCGTATAATAATTATTAGTATTATATATTGAAAACATGTCTTACATAGCGATCCTGAAATTAAATAAATAATAAAAACAATGATCAAACTTTAGTCACAAAAAAAAACAATTAATCATCAATCAATAACAAACTATCTTTTATTAATCAAATTCATTTTAAAAATATGAAAAATGTTACAGTTTGAATAAACCTTACCGTAAACTGAAATTAGAAAAAAAAAACAAATCATTAAATAAAAAAAAATCCTCAACGAAAGAAAAAGTGGATCGCAAAAGTATTACTTTGTGATGTTATTTAACTTCGTTTCGTTTATACTTACCACATTCTGAAAAAAATGTAGACAGTTTTATAAAAATAACGTTCAATATAAGAAAGGTTTTCTTTCAATGTTATTAATCTCCAACAAACCTTTGGCTGAAACAAATGAATTTTAGTGTGAGTATTTTTTTTAAATTGGCATAATTTATGCAATATCTCTAACCACTTTTTAACATAATGCTATTGATACAATATTAATAATTGAATAGAACAAAACTTACTGTTGTCTAAAAAAAAAAACAAAAAATCAATAACTTTCAGTCGCAAGATGACAAAATGTCCGCGTCAAAAAAATAACGGCAAGAATATTTAAACTAAATATAAAATAAAAAAGGAACTTACGAATTCCAGCTATAACATAAATAATGAAATATTTAGTAAGTTGATTTTTTTGGACTAGATCATAGTAGGAAATTGATATCCAAATATTAAAAAATCTAAAGTCAAACACTAACCGGTAACTGTAAATGGCAAATTTATATTTATATTAATAGTACTTTTTACCCATTTATAGCATGTTTGATAGACTTAAAATTAGAGTTCTCTGAATATAATTAAACAGTACTTACTGTTAGCTAAACAGAAAGGTTAAAATAACTTATTAAAACTTTCGTGAGACATTATAGTATATAAATTATAACACGGCTAAACTCACTTGATAACATTCGGTGTAGGCACCGACAGTTTCGAACCCGTTGGGGGTCCTTCTTCAGGGTGAGTGATTAATCACTTAATTTATCTTGATTAAAAATGAGTTCGAAACTGTTGGTGCCTACACCGAATGTTATCACGTGAGTTTAGCCGTGTTATAATTTATATAGGTTAAAATAAATAAAATTAACCATAAGAGTACAACGTATAGAATTAAATTTTTAAAAATACTTACCACAACGGTACTGGCCTGAAGAAAAAAACTAGTTACAATCAACACTTAAGCGGTATTAAGGCAAGCGTAAAAGTAACAAAACTTTACAATAATCAAATTAAAAATATACCTCTTGCTCTGCGTCTCCCTGTGTTGAAATTAAAAAATCAAATTCTCAGCTAAATATCACATAAAAATAAAATAATATGTTTTGTTTTGCTTACCGACACAGTCGAACTTTCAGCCTACAAATTTGAAAGATGTTGTTATTGTTTTAATATACGGACTATCTAAATTGATACGCCAATAAATAAAAATGACTTTCTAAATTTGTAAAAAACTCACAGCTGGACCAGATTGGCCCTAAAACATAAATATACTTCATACTTATATTATAAATGCGAAAGTTTAGATAGATGGATGTTTGTTAGAATTTGTAGTCTAGACGGCTGAACGGATTTCGATGAATTTTTGTATAGATGTAGAGGATAGTCTGGAAGAATATATAAGCTATTCACTTTTGTTTTTTTTTTAATTTCATGCGGAGGCATAGGCGAAAACTAGTATCTTATAAACAATAGTTATGTAAAATAATTACCGCGTCATTAGGATCACCCTAAAAAATAATTAAACGTAAATCATAAGAGAAAATAAATTTAAAATCACACTAACATAAATGCGAAAGCTTGAATGGATAAATGTTTGTTATTATATCTCTAAAACGGCTTTACTGATCTCGATGAATTTTAGCACAGATGTAGGTCAGTCTGGAAGAACTCATATTTTACTTGCTATTTTTTTTTAAAATAATACAAAAGTAAAGCCGCGGCAAAAGCTCGTACTTATACAAATAAAGTAAAATACTTACGGGGGGAACAGAGCTCGCCTAAAAATATAGTACATTAAATGAAAACGAAACGTCAAACACGTCTGTTACAATGCTTGGTAAGGTAGCTTACTTTTATAACTAGTAGGTATATTCTTGTAAATGTAAAAAAGAATAATAAATGTTTATCAATACTCACTGGATCAATAGTGCTTGAAGGATCCGGCTAAAAATATTACAACATAGATGAAAAGCGCGCGAAAACAGTAGGTACTTAATCCTATATTCATCTATGAATATAATAAAATTACAGACAGACACTACGTCTGTCTGTAATATCAAAAGAAAAATTCCAGTTTTCGGGAAGATGATGTATTTGCGTTGCTGATAACAAAAGTAGCATTTAATTTTTTTTGTCTGTCTGTCTGTCCGCAAACCGCGTTTGTTTCGCGTAATCTTCAAAACGGCTGGGCCGATTTCGACCGGACTTTCACTGAAGGGTAGCTGTCATAGACGGGTATATTATAGGCTACTTTTTTTATCTTAATTGCGTGGACGAAGTCTCGAGCAACAGCTAGTTGATAATATACTTACATCCTCAGCTAAAGTAACGATGGTACATATCCAAATTACATAGATATAGCGCGGGGGCCACATTCTGTAAGTACAAATTACACACATGTATAAAATGCGATATATACAAAAATGTATTAACATAATCAAACTTTAAAAATTGTGATTAGCTGATAGGTGGCGGAAATTTTTCTCAGGTGTAAATTTTTTAAATTTCATAATTGTAGAAGAATTTTTTTTATCTTATTTGGTAACTTTAAGAGACATTTTAAATATTATTAAAACGTCATTATTTAACTTTAAGTAAATATTTCGGTACAAGTTGAACTTACTTCGTTATATTTTTGTTACTGACAAGTTTACGATGTTGTAAAAATTTGTAATACAATAAATTGCGATACATTTTATAGTTTTCAATTTAAAACAGCAATAGGTGTATAGCTTCTGATAACTAATGTTCCAAGGAATAGAAAAGACATTCGTCATTTGACACGAGCCTCGTCACTCGTAGCGCGACTGTACATCTGGCTCGAAGGACCAAAATGTACATTCCGTATCCCCCCGTGTGAGGTTGAGCCTCAACAGGCAGTACTTAAGGCATGGCGGGTGCATCAGTATCAACGGTACACCACCAAATAAAACCACCTATTGATGGTTTCCAAAAAAATGCTTTATTGGTAGAAATATATCACATAACGTTTCTTCTTAACTGCTGACTAAGCCTAGGTCTCTGTACGGAATACATCTGTGGCCCCAATCTCACTGTTTTTTTTTTTTTTATTACAAAGTGGCAAATGAGCAAGCTGCCACCTGAATCAACCAAAATATCAAAGCGACTGCTGCCCATAGACATCAACAATTGCAGATATGTAGCCTACCCTTAATTGAATAGCAAAAGATTTTTTAAAATATAAATCTTTCCTATTTATAATATTAAGTAAAAGGTATTCAAAACATAAAAGAGTATCAAAAACATGTTACATATTTTTATTACGTAATTTCTGTACAAAACATCATAACATCTGTCATTTAGCTTCCTCAGATTTTTCTTGATAAGTAACTATTCCCTTTTCTATCAAGTCTGGAATTTCAACTGCCAGCCAAGGACCCAACTGAAAATTAAATCAATCAACATTAGGTTTAAAAAATTTAAAAACTTTTTTAGTAACCTATGTATTCTTCTAGACTACATATCTGCCAAATTTCAGCAAAATCAATTAATCTATTTTATAAACATAGTAACAAATATCCATCCATTTAAAGTTTCGCATTTATAACATTGATCACATAAGATAAACTAGTTCCAAAGTAAAAAATGAACTCTTTGCCCGCAACTTTGATGGCAAGGAATTACTAGATAAAGCTTTGTATATACTATTCCAAACATCCATCCATCTAAACTCATCATTAATGATGTTAGTAAGAACATTCATAGAAATTCTTTAGTAGGTATAGAAGTCTGGTACTGCATACAGTAGTTTTACAACAACCTTTTTACAATTTTCTAGCTAGTTCAACTGTTATTTCAGCAATTTCAACCATCATAGACAAAATAACATTCTCAATCAAACTAAAACTCAATAATATGTAGAACTGACAATCACTTCCATTATTCATCATTTTGACTTTACTTTACAATCAATATTGAGTGTTATTAATATACTGGGTCTTCATTTGCCATTAAAAAAACTAAACAAACTTACTCCTAAAGCCATAGCATGTGCAATACCAAATTTAGGTACATTCCTGGCCCATAGAGGTTTGAAATGATCTGTAAGACAAATTTTGCCACCTCTATACATTTTAGCTGTCTTCCCATCCAAGCCTGGAAGTGCCAATTCCGGTGCTGTTGTTGGGTATGTCACAGGAATCTAGGAATATACAAAAAAATAATGAAAGTATTTTCTAAAAGAACACAAATTATAACACTTGTACTAATCAAAGTACAGTTTTATTTAATTACTTTATTTCTTTAAACCAAAGTGAATAAACTGCAAAAAATTCTCATTGAATGTCTATTTAAGTTGTAATTTAAAACATAGATATTTATAAATGTTTTGGAGAATTAAGTGATCATATTCGATTAACTTACATCAAATTCCAAATCAAACTCATATTTGAGTAGGTTATGGACATACCAACACTTGCCAAACCATCTTGTGCCAGTTTTGTCAGACTCTAACCTAAACCAGTCATTGTCTGCAGCTTTGTTGTTCTCTACATACTGGAACACAGAAAAGTTTCACACTTCAGTGATACAAACAAATTTATAAAATGAATGCATGTTACTTTGTACAATCAATCATTATGCAGTTTTGACATATTTCATTGTAATGAAATAGTTTCCCATATTTTTAAATATGTGTCAATTACCTTAATTAGAGCCTGATACTCTTCCTTTAATCTAGTCACCCATAGCTCTTTGTCTCTCGGTCCTGCCTTTGTTTTCAATAAAGGTATACTGCTGAGAGTTTTTCTGGTACTTTCATCTACCATTATTGTTATTAGGTTTAAAAGAAATTAACATAACTTTCACTCAATAAACGTAGAGTTGGATCGGAATGTTGTTTACGTAGACAGTATACGTCAATGTCAAAATGACACATGATTGATGATTTTGGTATTACCAGTACCACAATTGTATTCAAAACTTGTAATTCTGAGAAAACTCCGATTGAACTATGATTTTTAGAGCCATGTTAAGTGTCGTAACGACACTTTTAATTTTCCTGTTCCAATGTTTTGCAAATTAATTATTGCGATTTTTAACAACTTTACATCTGTTAAAAGCAAATAGACCTACTGTCACTCAATTGTCAACGTATTAAGAATTGTCAGTGTCAATAAATACAAATATTTCTTTAAATATTAAGCTTGCCTTTATCCTCATTATTTCAGAATTAATTTTATGAAGTTCCCATTACGGACGGCGATTTTAATTTGGTATTGTACGATTTTCAACTACACATGTGTTTTTTATAAAACTTTATAAACGTACATTTACTACTTGCTATTACTTTGACTTTTGTTTAACGTAGTAACAGGACCTATAATATAATTTATAGTGTGTTTAATTACTTATGTTTTCAAATTATTAAGTTTTTTAGGTCTTAACCACATTTTGAATTCACAGATAGCTAAAAATGGGCTCTGAGCAGTCCATGCCACCCAAGAATCAGCCACAAAGGGCACCTCCTGTTAGACGAGGGCACACTATAGCTGGTACAAATGTACCAGGTAATATATTTTTTTTTACAAAATATGTGAAGTACAAGTGCTTTAATTTTGTAGAGAGTGATAAGCAAGAGACCTTCTGTTAAGTATAGTAGTTACTACTGCCCATAGTCAGCTCTAAAATCCATTGCAATAAGGCATTTGTATCTGTACTCAGTTCTGCCATATTAAAAAAAAACTAACTCAACTGTAATCTTAAATGATGTTAAGTGGGGATGAGTTAATTTTTTTTGAACAATTAATATTTAACTATGATTTATGCCCTTTATAATATTATTTTCTTCCAGATTCCCACAGAGGTGATGCAACTACCAGTGGTAATAACTCTCCCGGGGCCAGCATATGTTCAGACTCTGAGTTACCATATATATCTTACACTGTTGATCGTCCTATTGGAGGTATTTATTTAATATCTATTATGGAAAAATCAGTGACATCTTTTTATTATTCTCATAAGAAATTTAACTTTTTTAATTTAATACCAATATTCTTTAAAACAATGATTTCATTTTTTTTAGTCTGTTATATTTTACAGATTCTCCCAAACATTCGTCAAAGAATCAAAGAATGGCAGAGAATAAAAAGTCTCTACTACAGAGGCGTCAGATGAGTCTGCAGGCACGGAAGACCAAACGTGCCAGGGATATTGTTGTTGTTAAACCTGCGTCAGATACACAGTTGGATGAAGATATACAAAGATTGCAGGTATTTTGCTAACAAATTGTTAGGTGTATGAAACCAAACAAATTGGACCAGTATAGTTGATTATGGTTTACTCATATCAAATTTCTTGTAGGTTCCGAGATCTTGGTTATATGAGTTAATGACTTTTTTACTTTATTTGTATAATTAATTTTGAATAACCCAAATACTGTTATTTTTAATATTTAGATGTCATATGGTTAGACGGTACCTTGTTGCTTAATATTTTTTATTTAAATCTCCAGGAAATTCCTACATTTCTCCCCATCATGAGGGGTACCCTTGGTTTGCCCGGTGCTCGTGATCCTGAAGTGATAGCTGGTGAGTGGTTATATAAATTTATTCAATAATTTCAAGCTAAGTTCCTAAAAGATTTAATTTTTTTTAACACATTAATTAAATGGAATTATAAGTGTTTGTAAACATTGCGGTTTGTCCAAACAGCTTTATTACTTTTGTGTATGCTTATTTATCATATTCCAATGTAATTGTGTGATTCAATTAGCTGTTATGTATACTATACTATTGTAATAAAGTGTAAAAACACACTTCTTTGTTGCCTACGATGTCAGCAATTATAGTATGTTATTGAATAATTCTTTTTTTAATAAAAAGCCCTACACTTACGTCACACTTTAGGCTATACATTTTTACGCAATTGAACTTAGGGGTAAATATCTTGAATAAAAACCCTAATGTGGGAAAGAGACCATAAGTTGTTGAAAACATCAAGAAAGCAAGATTGCCAACGTTTGTCATGTCGTCATTTTGACATTTGCTATTGATAATTTGACAAATGTAAACAATAAAATCATTTTTTATAATTTCATGCGGATGAAGCCGCACGGGAACAGCTAGTAAATATTTGTATATTGTATCTGTTAAATACATTTGTGTACTGTAGGACTAGATTATCGACCGTGGATTCGTATGACGACGCGGCTGCAGGCGCACCTCTCCGCCTGCGCACAGCCCATTGCCGCTGACGAACTCACGCTAGCTTCTAAAGTTAAAGAGGTGTGTAGATTGTTCAAAACAAAGCCTGAAACAACATCACGACCACATGGAAGACAAGCATCAATTGGGAGCAATTCAGAATTTCCTCTAATGAGTATGCATACCCTAGTTCTAAGTTTAATCTATCCTTTTTCTTACAAGAATGCGAACGGCAGTTGATTTCACGGAGGATGGGACGCATAGCCAGGGGATGTGCATACCACAGTTTTTTAAGGATAGGCAAATCCTCTGAAAATGCTTGCATGTGTAGGTGACTTCGCTGTTTTTTTCATAATGCGGTGGTCACTTGTTCATCTGTCAATAAATAAAGTAAAATTTTAGCGAAATATTTATAGTCGAATTTAACTTGGTCTATATCTCTCTCACACTTAATGAGAAGTTGGTGACAAAAGAAGTGTTCTATTAAGCCGAAACTTGCTTAAATTATTATTTATTTAAAATGAAACTTCAGTATATTATTTCTTTAAATTTTGCCTATCCTTACATTTAATCTAAAAATGTGTTATGTAATTGTGATATTTCAATAGATAGATGCGGAGATCTCCCGTCTCTATTCGTTGTTGGTGGATAGACAGAGAGCGAACGCGCGGCACGCGGAGCGGCTGTCGCGCGTGCGAGAGGTCGCACACCACTTATCCAGATGCAGGTCTCTCGTCAACCAGGTTAGTTACCATTTCTAGTCTTTTAAGAAGTTATCTTACTTCTTACTAATGGAAATGCGTTATACTATAGTTTAGATAGATGTTTGTTATTACATATCTCCAGAATGTGACAGATTTCACTATAATTTCGTGTGGAAATAAAAAATTAGGTACCCTATGTGTTCTTCCAGATTATCCTCTACAACTATACCAAATTTCATGGAAATACGTTTGACCGTTTATGCTACAAACTCTAACAAACATCCATCCATCTAAACGTCGGAGTAATATTCTGATATACATTTTTCTTTACAGTCATTACAAGACATCGAAGAACTGAATCTTTTACTACCTGAGAACAAAAGATTGGAGCCTTTCGTATGGAACGAAGAAAATACCTCATAATCAATAATATATATAGAAATGTTATTTACAATATAAGCAACATGATCACATGTGAATTCTATGCCGAGTTTTATGTCGCTTAGATCCCGTTTGGGAAGATCTCACCTTGTTTTAAAATCTGAATTAAATATATTTAATTTTTAATTCCTCGTTTTATTTATGACTGTGGATGAGGCGAGAGAATACTAAAATTATGCTAAATGGAAATATAATTCGCTAGTCTATTTACTTGTTTTAAACATGTCACTCAGTGATAAATTGAGATTAATACGAAAAATACTCGTAACATCTTCGATAAAAATTTGTTTTAAGTTTGTTGGTGTACTATACCATGTATAGGGGGCGCTGCATATAACCAATACAAATTCGATAACGTTATTGAATATTTCGCAAATTTTCGTGCTAAGTCCTCAAAAGATACTTTTTTAAAACCATTTATTTCTCTCGTAAGTTGTACAATACGTAGTTTGCGAACATTGTCGACCTAACATAATCGATTGTTCCGTTTTTATGTCGTATTCTTAGAAGTGACATTGAAATGCGCTATTGATGATAATGTTAATTTTTTTGCTGTTTTATAGTTACTTGAGTGGAGTATAATTATATTAAACAGATACACAAACACATAATTTATGTACTCGTAAAAGGTGATTTACAAAACCGTATTAATTAATTTAAATTTACTTCAAAGAGTTTAAAATAATTTATTCTACTTGTATTTATTGACTAGTTATTCCTCGCAACTTCGTCCTCGTGAAATTAAAAAATAATACAAGAACATATTCTATGTTACTCACTGGTAACGTAGTTTTTGATGGTGATAGAATTTTTTAAATCTGCTGAGTAGTTTTTGATTTATTTTTAATACATACGAAAATATAAATATTTCCATCTTACAATATAAGTAAAGAATTATAAATTGATTAAAGTGGAACGGTGAGGGTATATATGTCTCTATATCTTAAAACAATGTGAAAAGATGTCAGAAAGAGTTAGAACCAAGTAGACAAAGACGAAGACCTAAGTAGAAGAGAATAATTAAGAACGCTGACCCCTTTATGGGATACGAGCTAGGCGGAGAAGGGGCGGGTATGTATGTATTTTGGTTAATTTGTATTGTAACCTGAATTGTCAATATTCCGTAGTGTCACAGGATATTGGTACAATCAATAAGGCTTATTGATTTTAAAATTAATAACTACGTCTCTATTTTACTTTTATTAACTGTAATTATTTGGATATAAATGCTTATCAAAATGCGTAATAACATACATTTTGAAAGTTGTAGTTTCTAATTACCCAGTGTCGGTAACAGGAAAAAATTTAATAGTTGTTACAAATGTTTGAACACGTTTTTGTCCCACTTACCTGTTGCCTTAACCTTAGAATGTTATATTTCGACAGTAAGATGATAAAATCTGCAAAACGCGAACACCTCCGGTTAACAGCAAGGCGCGTGAGTAAATACGTAGATTGAAGTCGTTACCAAACCTTGCAAAAGCGATTTTGCAACACGCGCGGTATGGGCCGCTCAGTTAAGATTTTCCTTGCAGTCCAGTTAAACGTGTCTATAGATTAATCGAAATAACCGGTGAGTAGAGCTTTATTTTTAATATTTTTGAATATAGAATACGTTATTTTTCAATATTGTTAAGGTTGCTGTTTAATTTCTTGTGTGCCAGTATCAAAGGCTCTAAAAAGAGTTGATATTAATAATTGTAATTATAATTGTTTTGTTTACAATAAAAAAAAACTTTATTATAAGTAAGATGATAGGCAAATTGCAAATGTTTTGTTTCTATTAAAATCAAATTTGTTATATGATAGGTGAATCTAACTACACTACCTATTGACTTATTGTGTAATTTGATCAAGAATGCATTAATCTATAAATGGCAGTTATAATGTCATTTGAATAATAAAAACATATAAACACCTATGGGTACAATCTCATATAAATAGAAATTCCAGCAATAATTGAATTGCATAATAAAGATTAGGTCCAAAACGAGCTTGACTTTGTTGAAGACAGGAGTGGCACGAAATTAAAACTTTTAATTATGAAAGTTACATTACATTGTTACTGTTAACATTATTTTTTTTTAATTTAAAATAGCTCTGGTTTAGCGACTAAAGTGCCAGTGTTTTGGGTCAACGCTAGCCAAGGTTGCGGAAGTCTCGGTATGGATGTAAATTATCAATTCAAAGAATACGTGATGAGCGTACTAAAAACTAACTAATTCGTTTGTTTTTCTTTTGTTTTGTTTCTCTTCTCTCTCCCTCACTCTTTTCCCTTTTCTACGTAGATTTTTGATTGGGTTCATAAAATATTAAGATAAAGTTATTGTGGTATTCCAGGGATTTAAATAAAAATAAACATTTTCTAAAGTGCAATGCAGTTCGTAACAAATTATGGAAGTTTCAGGCACTGACATGTTAGGGGGTTCGAACCTTATTTAGAGAGTTTAAGATTGCTTTATGGTCTTGGCTATTCCCACCACTGGCTGATGGATTGTTTTATATCTGTGCCAAATTTCAATACGATATGTTGAACCGTTCCATAATGTTCGAGTTAACATTAAAAAACTAAATTAATGAATTACAAGGGAACCGTAACTATTCCCAGATTAAAAGGTAATCTATGTGTTCTTCCAGACTATGCTCTAAACCTGTGCCTAATTTCATGGAGATCCGTTCAGCCTTTTAGGCTACAAACGCTAACAAACATCCATCCATCGTAACTTTCGCAACTATAATATTTATATGATATGATTGACTAATCGATTAAGCCTCCAAAACTAAGTTTAGCTTAGTTAGTTAGTTGTTCGACTCGATGACATTTAAACCTGCCATTTAAAAAACAATGCACAGATTTTGAAAAGATAACACAAGGCATATCTTTGTCAGATAATTTCTTGTCCAAAAGAATTTTTGCGTAATCTTCAAATCTTGACGTAGTGACATGTTATGAAGAAAGAAATGTCGTAATCAGTTTCAACAAACATAATGTCAAGGTCTGGGCAGTTCTATGTCATATGCGTGCGCTAGAGAACGCACTTTTATAACTCCATAAAAGCAACTGGGAAGGGAATATATAAACATACTCAGGCTGTGAATAGGTACATCGGTGGGAGTAGAACAGACAGTGTTATAGGTGAGTAGTATGAATGTGAGAGAGACCAGAGTGTTCTACTAGGACCACAACAACTATAAGTCCGTGGTCTATACCTACCCCTGTTAGTTACGGTCGTTTACTACACAGCCACAATCACATCAAAACCAATGACGTCAGAGTTCCAAGTCTATTTTCCGATGTGTAATAAATCTCACATGCGAGCAGACAATTTTTTTTTTAATAATCACTTTAAACCAAGAGTTACCTAAAAGATTACATAATTTCGGTACAGTTTGTATGGTCCGTGGTCTATAAGTGTACATCAGTGTAAGATTCGCTCTATTTGTTATGTAGACTAAGTACTGTCGAAACTTGCTAAGTTACATTTCAACAACGTTTAAGCAACGAGGAATTATCATCCTTTATAGACTATAAGAGTGCACAGCTTTGACTAAACTGTCGCACAACTGTAGTTCGATCATCAATTGTTTCACAGCCCAATCAACTGTTTAGTAGAACATTTAAAAATTGAGTTGGGTGGACACCTATATAAGCTCATAGGAATTAAAGCGGGACTAAAGAGACGTGCGATAGCTTAATAGTTTCTTTTTTTGTGTTTATCTCCTAAATAAACTATGTTCAATTTCGAAGAAATAATTTAATTGCTAAAGCATACTGCTTTAGTGAGAAATGGGTAGGTGAATACGTCAATGGTATGCCGTCTTGACTAATCATTTGCCCTTAATATTTTCAAACGGTTGTTACGTCACTAAGATTGCGATGGATTCTATTAACACTTTCAATTCCGTCACCAGCTGTTTAATAAGTAAAGCTAATACTTGATCACTTATACTCGAATAGTACTTATTTGATGATGACTGTTATTTGTACATTATTTAGATAAAAGACAAAAATAACTATCTGTTTTTCTGCCGAATTTAATGGACCTAGTCTTGTCAATATGATTTATTACATTTCGCCTGTGACTCCGTTGGCGCAAATTAAAAAAAAAACTTAGTAAGTAGCCTATGTGTACTTCCAGACTATGTTCTATATTTGTGCCAAATTTCAACGACATCTGTTCATCCGTTTAGGCTACAAACTCTAACAAACATCCATCCAAACTATTGCATTTACAATATAAGATTAGTAAAGTTGTTTTCGAGCAGATGACTGGTGGCCAAATTAGTGTAGTACTTTGTGTGATGAAATTACTCATTGGCTTGTTTACTTGTTATTTTTACAGCCTTCAAGATGTCTGCAGAAGGCTTCACGGAGACCGAGGTTGACGCGATGCCGGACCGCCTCGCTGAAACTTTCAGCGGGATGAATGTGTTCATTACTGGAGGCACTGGTTTCATGGGGAAGGTTCTTGTTGAGAAGTTGCTCAGGTAGTCAAAGAATTATATTCGAAAAAATAGTAATAAGTGATAAACACTAGTTTTATTTATCGTTTAATGCAATTAAAATAAATCAAGTGAGATTTTCTGACATTGATATAATTGTCGTGAACAACATTATGCAAATAGTATCCTTGCGTGCAATCACAAGTTAAATGGGACGTAGAGAACAATGGAAAACTGACTCTATAGTTATCATAATAATCATAAAGTTTAGATTAATTATAGTCTATAATTTATATCAATGCAGAATTAAAAACGAGATGCTATGTAATGGTAATGATATTACTTGGAAATAAATGTCTACAATTTCTTATGAAATTGAAGAAACCGCTTGAATCCTTTTCCGCTTGAATACTTTGTACCATTTTGATGTTTGTTATTGTTGTCAACAGCATACATTTATTTTAAAGAATTAATTCCTTTTCAGAAAATGTCCAGATATTGGAAAGATAATCCTGTTTGTACGCGAGAAAAAGGGCAAATTACCTAAACAACGACTTGAAGAAATACTAAATGATGATGTGAGTAATATTTGTAAATGTCTTTTTTGTAGCTTTAGAATTTATTCAAAGTATAATTTGTAATAGTGTGTATTTTATACAACAAACTTTATCACTTTATCACTTGCTCATGCAAAATATTTTGTCGTCTCAGTTTATTCAGAGACTAGCGTTACTCGCGACTTTGCTTGCGTGAAATTAAAAATATAATAAAACAGTGTAGCCTATGATATTGGTTGATAACGTAGCTTTTTAATGGTAAAAGAGTTTTTCAAATCAGACCTGTAGTTATCGATTTATTAAAATACATACAAAAATACAAATCTTTTCCCTTTATAATATTAATATAGATAATGAGAGAGAAAAGAGTGTTTTTGTACTGATTTTCATTAGTGGAAACGTATGATAATGATAGTTCAGTTAGTGTACATCTATTAGATGCATAATGACTTAAATTAAAAAAACATAATGTCCATAATTTGTTATGCCACATTACTGAGGGGATTCCCAATTGCGTAATACTATTGCATTTGTTTCATATTCCAAGGTTAAAACTTAGAGATTATATTCCAATTGACTAAACTAAATATAAGTATTAAAATATACATCACTAGCTTACTATATGTCGCCTCTGAGTGGCTCGGAGTCTACCCTAAGTCAGGGTGACTAGGCTTTTGTCAACCACGCTGGCCCACTGCGGGTTGACTTCACACATATCTTTGAATTTCTTCGCCGATATGCAGGTCGCATCACGATGTTTTCCTTTACCTTAAAAACGTCGGGTAAATTATGTACATATAAAATTGAAAATGACATTGGTACATGTCAAGATTCGAACAAAGGACCCGTGGATTACAAATCAAGTGCTCAAACATAAATAAACCCCTGATCTACCGATGCTCAAAATATACGTCTATGCTTTATTGTTTAGCGATATCGCGTTTGATACTTTAATGTGTCTGGTCTTCCAATTTAACCTTATTGAAAGATTTTAATGCAACCATAGAAGCAAAAAGTTGCTTTTTATATTATAGACTGCCGCTGTATCATTACTTTATACTTGTTGACGATTGCGACAAATGAAGACACGCATTAAGCGGTTGCGAGTCGAATTGTGGAAGGAAATGCGTTACCTCGCGAATTAGACCGTGTATTGTAGTAAAACGCATTTGCGTGATGCTTTTGAAATTAGGATTAGGTTATATTAAATTGTTTTTCTTCAAATCTATACAAAAAACTTCATTCAAACAATTGCAATAAAGATGAACAAAGACCGTGCCGAATATAAATCTACAGTCACCCTTCATCCACTCAGAGTTATTAGCAAAAACGCATATTTTTTATACATTAAATTCTGACAATGTTTTTGTGCAATTTAAAAAAGTTTATGTAATAATGTAACAGGTACACATAACTTTCAAAAACCGGTAGATAAAAATGAACTCTGTCAGAATAAAGCATTAAAATTTATCTAATTCATTCCAGCTTGTAATAAATTGTGCACTTATGTTGCGTATATTTCTAGTTGTTGAGAACATTCGTATCAATATTTATTAAAACTTTCATGCATTACTTGAGTATTGCAGAGTTGAATGCACTTGCAGTTTAGCAATATACAATTGTCGAAACCATTGTTAGTTTCCACTGCTGTACAAAAACATTGTTCTCTCATTTTCAAAGGTAATAGACGTATATTTACTAAGTTTTTTTTCATATTTCTACTAAGTATTCATAATTATATTATATTTATGTTTTTTAAGCTCAAACAAAAACCTATCATTGGCTTTAACGTCACGTAATACTAGATGTTTACGTTTTTATATTTGTACGCTATTGTTTTTTTTTTAAATAAATATATGCTATGAATAAATGTATTAATTTCTGGATTATATTTCGCCAGTTTTGGTTTTGATATTCAATCTACAGCTGTAAAATATGTGGACTTAAACCAGCTTCGACGTCAGTAGTATAATTTCTTCACAGCGGCAAACTGCCTAAACGTTTCGTAATGCGCCGCTGTTGGCCAATGTTTTATTTCTTCCACTACTCACTTATGACGAAAGCGTGACATATAGGCTCAAATACATATGTACATTTTTGACTAGATACATATACTACTAGTTTATAATATACTGGATACTGCAGTGTTTGGAAGATGATTTCTATTTGTTAGTAAAGATTTATTTGAGTCAAGGACATTAGATGCGTAATTCGCTAGGCTCTACGAGGACTTTCTAGCAACATTTAATGGAGGCAGTTTTCGACATAGATTTTAGTTGCTATGACTTACGATTGTTAAACTTTGGTATGGAATGTTATGAAAAATATAGTACACATATTTATCTCCTACTCTTCTACTATTTTACATTTGAAATTATTTGGCTTATTAGTGTTTTGTTAATTGTAAATTAACTAACATCGAGTTTTGTACACTTCAATTCTTTTAAAACACTCGATTCTTTCATACATATTTACAGCATTAAGTATCAGTGGCAAACAAATGCCATATAAGTTATTAGGTCACAATATTAAATTAAAACTAAAGTTAATTTTAATTATCTGTATTACAGTTGTTCGAAAAGGTACGTAACCTTCGTGGAGGCGTGGCTCCTCTCTTGGAGAAGATGCATATCGTGACAGGTGACGTCATCGAGCCTGACCTTGGACTAAGCGATGCTGACAGACAGTTCATTATCCAAGAAGTTAACTTCATCATTCACGCTGCGGCCACTATCAGGTACAAGAGTACTTAATAACTATCTAGTGCTCGGTTTCTGAAGTTTCCATTGATTTAATATTAATCTTGTAGATTCATTAGTGTTAGTGCCCTGAGTTTCAAAAGAGTAAAATTCAAGTCGCTAATGAATACTTAAAAGTAGCTATGAAACCGGCCATAGGTGCGTAAATTTTAAAATTGTCATGAATCTAAATGATGATGGTGTAAAAAGTTTAAGATATGATGCAAGTAATAACTTAATAGTTAAAGATAATTAAGATGATATAAATAATAATAATTGTTACAGGTTCGATGAAGAATTACGTAAAGCAGTTTTACTTAATGTTCGAGGAACTAAATTAATATTAGAACTTGCTAAGGAATGTAAGAATTTAAAGGTAAGTTGAAACTAGAATGATTAGATAACAGAGTTCTTGTCTCTTTCCTTACCACACTTTCTTTTCCCTTTATGCATCTCTATTCTCTACTCTCTCTTTTTTAACTTTGATGGTATCTATGGTCATAAATTTCTCGAACGTCTTAAATATTCCTTTCAGATTGAACTAGTAATAACATCTGAACTCTAATTTCCAGCTCTTCTTCCATGTATCAACAGCCTACTGTCATCTGCATGAGAAACTTTTAGAAGAGAAACCTTACCCTCCGCCAGCTGACCCTCACAAGGTCATACAAATCGCGGAATGGATAGACGAAGAGTCCATGGGTTTGTTGACACCAAAGTAAGGAATTTATAACATTATATAGAAGTTAAGAAAAACAATGTAATAAAACCTTTTTGAAGCTATGTATATACATAATGTCAAAATTAAGTAGTACACTTTTAACATTAATACTTCATCAATTTTATGTATATTAGCAACGTTTCCATATCGTAACTCTTTAACATTTTGGATGAAATCGGATTTAAAAAATTGTACCGCCTCTTTTTGCAGTTAAGTGTATACCTTTCCTTTCTTTATTATTCGTAAATAGGTCAAATAAAATATAAAGCAAAATGTACTATATGACATATTTTACAGGTTACTGAGCAAATTGCCGAATTCTTACGCCTTCACGAAGGCGCTGGGCGAAGCTCTAGCTGTGGAAGCTATGGAGCACATTCCTCTTATCATTTTACGTCCTTCTATCGGTAAATCTCATAATTTTGTGACTTGATTTTCTTTATAGTGTTAGTAGATATTGTAAAGTTTTTAATTTTATTACAGTAATACCAATTTGGCAGGAGCCTGTACCAGGCTGGACTGACAATATCAATGGCCCTACTGGTCTTCTTATTGGTAAACTTATTTTCTATCCTAATATAATAAAAAAAAAAATGATTTGTATCTTTGTATGTATTTTAAAAAAATAATAACTAATGGGCCGAATCCAAAAATTCTTTCACCAATAAAACGCCCCATTTTTACTGAGTGTAATTAGGCTAATTTTTTTTTACTTTTAATTTCACACAGATGAAGTTGTTAGTTTTTAATAGATATTCTGAGAAGGACTTGTGTGATCGACATGAAATTTGTAAGACCGTCTCTTAACATTACTACTAGAAATAGTTTTTTAATCAATAAGATGCTTGCTTTATTTAAATTACTGTCGCAACTACAAAAACTGTTCAAAGTTATTAATTATTCAGTTGATAAAATGCTGAACAGTTACGAGAATATTTATTACAAACATACTTATAATCTATGTAAATAAACTAAACAGTTCTGTCTCTGAAAATTCGTTGAAATATTCGAAGCTCTAAAATGCCTACGACCGGTTGGTGGTGGCGAAACATTTGGTAACCTTGGTTTGTACGAGTTACCATCGCCCCATACCTGCTAATTAAAGAGATTGCTCTTTCATAAGAGACTAAAGCAGGTCTTGTAAGAGCACACCTGATATTAAACTATCGTTCAACTAATAAAAAAATTATAGCGGCAATAGCCTTATGGTTTAGGATACAGACTATCGATCTGCGATCGATAGTTCGAATCTCGCCTTTCGAGTGTGCTAGTGCAACACACTTTAAAGCAATTTATTGGATATCCGGCCAGATACTCAGAACAAATGAGTTCACATGAAAAGTAAAAAAGAACAATTATTTAAATCAAATAAAGACGTTTTAATATGTATTTAAGTCAACAAAAATATATGTTAAAGTATTAGGCATGTTTCTATCATATAATTTACATTTAAAATATTGCTTTCATATTTTTCAACGAAAAGATCGTTTTATAGACTTCGACATTTGAAACGAAAATAAATGTACATTTTTTCTAAAGCATGCAATATCTGTATTACTTTCTAAGAAAATTAATGAAATCAAAAAACATTATGTACAGTCAGCTTCATAATTATATCCACATTTATAAAACTTTAAAAACTTGTAGGTAACTTGTGGGTAAACCCCGTAGGGACATACAGACGTGTTTACGCAAGGTCCTTATAGTACAGTACAGATAAAGTACAAAAGAACAGGTGTTTTAAGCACACTGTATAATGTCTCTTGATTTTTAAGGTGCTGGTAAAGGAGTCATAAGATCTATGTACTGCAAGAGCAACAGTTACGCTGACTATCTGCCTGTCGATGTTTTTATAAACGGTATCATGATAATGGCATGGAACTACCTCCACTGCGGGTAAATATAAACTCTATTTCTATAGACATATAGCTTAATTTCTGTTTCTGCATTTTGATATAGTATAAGTTTTGTTCATTTATTTCATTGATAAACAACACTAAAAAAAATAGCCTATCTCAGATTTTTTAAGATGAAAGAACAGCATGGAAATATTTTTTGTTAAATTTTTCGGAGAATTTAAACATACTGTATACAGATTATAAATGTAATTACAGTTTTTGTACACTCTGTTTTCATGTATTTGTTTTTAAATTGTCTGATTTTTCCAGTGATAAAAAGTCAAATGTAATCAACTTCACATCTTCCGCTGAGATTAAGGTGACATGGCTTGAAATGATCGATGCAGGCAGAGATATTATTATGAACCGAGTGCCTTTAAATGGTGTTGTATGGTGAGTTAATATTTACAGCGCACGCCTTTTCCTATCGCACAACTGTTTAGTCGCGCTTTGATTCCTATGAGGTTATATGCACATGTGCAACTAAACAGTTGAATTGGTTGCAAGACAATCGACAATCGCACAATTGTTTTGAGATAATTTAGTCATAGTTGAGCGCCCGTTCTAGTAACAGAAATACCACTAAATAGATCCAATAGTCAATCAAAGTCAACCAGAAAAATAGTAAAAGAATTCTTTTCGAGTTTTCTTGGCTTATTCTCTGTGATAACGTATTTTTTTGCATATCTTTCAGGTACCCTGGAGGTTCGATGAAACATTCTAGGCTATATCATAATATATGCGTTCTTTTCTTCCACTGGATTCCAGCGATCATTCTAGATACCCTACTATTTTGTCTTGGCTACAAACCAGTGTAAGTTTATTTTGCACAATGTCAAATTATGTATTCACTTCCATTTCATTTTATTTTTACATTAAATAGGTATTTTCTTACAATTTAAATAAATGAATGTTAAGTATTGTTTGCATTTTAAACGCGACTTTCAAATGTCCTTTATTATAAAAATGGAAATTTGGCAATTATGTAAAAAATTTACTAACAGTAGATATAATAATTTATACTTATTTCTTACATACTTTTTTGAGCACTTGAATTTTGACATTTTCCATTGAAAATTTCACAAATATAAACTTTTAAATAAAGTTTTTATCAGGCTAGCGAAACTTCGAACAAAAATTATTTTGTATGCCATGAACGGACTTTTTGATGGCCATGACATTAAATTTTGTTAAGTTATTATGAGCAAGCTTTCTCACTCTATCGTCAAGAGTTCTCTTTCTACCACAAGAGTCATTAGAGTTGAAGGTCTTTGTCAAAGTCCTACTTATATGCTCTTTGGTTTTTATAATTTTATACGGATGAAGCCGCACGGGAACAGCTCGTATTTAATAGTTTTACTTAAGGCATTATTACTTGTTTTTTACAGATTAATGCGAGTACACCGTCGTATAAGTAAAGGTTTTGATGTGTTCGAGTACTACACTAACAACCAGTGGGACTTCAAGTCTGATATCGCACAAACTGTACGCAGGAAACTCAACACTAGGGAGAGACGGGATTATAAAGTAGATGCTATTGGTAAGAAATCATGTTCTTTATTCCCTTTTAAGCAAAGTAGCTCTTTCAGACATATTTCTTATGACCTCTTTCAAAAAGGTTTTCCATTTTCACCCTTTTCTCGTAAGCTAATCATGGCAAAGGAAAGTGGATTTGACGATGCAGGAGATACATAGGAAGGGGATATATCCTCTTTACATGCGTCTCCTCCACCAAGTAAGGGTAGGCAACGCATCTGCAATTGCGGATGTCTATGGGCAGTGGTCGCTTCGTCATTTTGGCAGTCAGGTGATCGCTTGCTCGTTTAGAATTTTGTGGTATAAAAAAATCAATTCATTTATACTTTCTTCGGTCTCCCTCAACCTTTGTAGCCATTCAATCTCATTACTTTCTTGTACATACTCGTACGTTATACAAACGTTACAATTTTCAGGTCTCGACATATCGAAATATTTCGAAGACTGCATCAGAGCTGCTCGTAAATATATCCTGAAAGAGCCAGAAGATACCATTCCCGCCGCCAGGAGGCACATGATGGTGTAAGTCAATTTTACTCTAAACATACAAATATCTAAAGTTAATAAGGTTCTTTAGCTTATAGACTATGGTTTTTAAATTAAGAAAATATCCAATAATATACTTAAAACGGGCGCACATCTTAGACTAAACTATCGCACAGCGATTGTCAATTGTTTCGCAGCAAATTCAACTGTTTGGTTCCACAACTAAAAATCATGGAGGGAGGTCACCTCCAAATAAGCTCATAAGAATCAAAGCAAGACTAAACAGATCTTATGCAAAGTCCAACTGAACTCTTTTCTTCGAAGCTAATAATTTTAATAGTTTTAATAAGTGAAAATATATTAAATTCGTATTCGTTCATGGATATGTGAGTACAGTAAGCTGTAACCAGAATGTAGTAGCTTTGTAAACATATGCTCCTTTGTCCGTATAAAATTGATACATGTTTTTGCAACCGGATGTTTTACAAGTTTTGTAAATATATCCAACTGTACATTTGGGTCTATTGGATTCTTATTTAATTACTACATTGTATTTATTTCAGCATGTGGATCGTCGATCTGGTCGTCCGATGTCTATTTTGGGGATTGATTTTCTATTGGTTGAGTGGTTGGTGTTCATCTTTGTACACTGCTACTGTCGGCTATAAGGACACTCCTGCTATAGTTGGCACCAGCATCTGATATTTGGCACCAATAGATGGCAGCAGCTAGAGGCCGCTTTTCGTTGTGATTGTCATTTTTTATGAATATGATTGTATATAAAATGTAAGTTAGATAACAAAGTAAAAAATAAGCTGTTTTTAGATGTCCTTCTTTGCATTAACGTGTTATGATTTATGCTACAAATTGTATCCCATTGAAATAAAAATTAAGACTGATAGATGAAATTGTATAATATACATAAATAATACGAGAAACGAATCAAAATTTAAGCTGAATTTTCTGCAGATAAAATAATTTTTAATGACAATGAATATTTTGATATAATTACTATATCAATGTTTATAAGTGTTGAATTACTTATACATAAGGGTTTGAGTGTAAAATTAGTCTTAATTTTAGAATGCATTATAAAAATTTTAGAAACAAGGTTTTTATATTTTTTTTAATAAAATGAAAATATTCATATTTGATATCCTTTTTTATTTAAATAATTTTCCTAAATAAATACCCCACCTTAAATATAAACAAAACGCGGAATTTACTACAAAAACGAAACCAAAAAGTAATCAGAAGCCTCGGAAGTATCGGGAAGTTGACGAAAATAAATCAAAAAAAAATGTTATATATACAGTTTATTTAACACTTACATCATTATATTTAATTAAACACGTGTGGGTTTTCAAATATTCAATAACCAAATAAACACTTTAATTAAAGGACACTTTTTATCGACATACGGTTAAAATGATACTGGAATTTGCTTTAAACAAAACAGATAACTTATAAAGATATTAAAATTATTAAATTAAAGGTATTTGATATTTATAAATAGAATTGGATACTAATGTCGTTAGGTTTAAGGTGCAATTTCGCGTGATACGGCATACGGCAAACGGTACAGCAGCGGCGGACAGAATTATATGCAGTATTGATTTGCATTATACTCGTACTGTTTCTATTTCCGATTGCCATCTCCCGCGTCCTTCCTTCCTAATCAAAGTGACTTCCGACTATCGATATCGCAACTAATCGATGAAATGTCTCAAAATTCGTGACTTATCCAAAGTTGTGATCCATATTTTTGTTATTTATCCAGCTCCAATATCATTCTCCACACGATAGCCGGCAGGACTGACTGTCGATACCTTAACAGCTGACTAAAGTTGAACTCTGTTCTCTGAATTTTGAAGTGTAAAAAAAAATGAATATATTCTGTTTTGTCACTAACATAATATATATACAGCTTGAAATAAAAGTTATTATTATTATTTTTATATATTTTTATTTCGATCTGCGATAGCGATAATCGAGTGTCACATTGTTAAAGATGAAATCACACAAGTGAGGTAACCAATGTAATAGTGTTAAATAAGTTAGAAAAAATAATCTATGCACTTTACTTGGATCTGACATATGTAGGCAATCACTTCGGTTTATGTTCACATAGACGAAAACAGAAAATTGATCAGATTTGTTTAAAAACTTTCGAATTTAACTAAATAAAATTATTTTATGTCGTATAATTGAATTTTTGAATCCTAACACCATTTTCAAATATTATTTGTTTTTGTAAGACCCAAATTATATTCATAATTTTTAATGACAAAAAAAAAACTGGTACACTTTGTAACTAATTTTATTTTTCATGTTACTATACTCATGCTTTTTTATCTTTGGATATTTGCTATTATAGAATCCCTTTTATTACGCTGAAAAGTTTCTCAATATTTAAATTCATATTAGGCAAAATAACTACACAGTTTTACTAAAATCTGTCCTGTTTGTTTGATTTCTAAGTTATTAAAACATTGATTTATAAGACTTAGATGGTCTCGCTTAAAACTATCAATAATAATTCTTACAATGTCACATCTAAGTTATACGTTGATACTACCTATTTCTACCACATTCTACCGTAAACGCCCAGCTAAGAATCTGAATAGATAATATCCGGTAGCAGCTTGGAACATTCGATGCACCCAGTATAATCTGTTAAAAAATACAACAATAATAAAAAAAATTAAAACTAAGTAAAAGCACTTCAACGTGGAATTAAGTAAATTCAAAATTAAAACACGTACAAATGGTTTGAATCTAATGAAATTATTCTCTCATTATCATAGTAAAAGGCAAACGTATTGTGGTAGTGGAACCCTACGGTAACTTTGATAGATACTACAACCAAAAATAACGAATAAAAGTAGCAATCTGTTACCTACGTAATTTCAACCAATTATTTGGCCATTTACTCCCTTGTCACCTTATATTTAAAAAAAAAACTTAATTTTATAGATTCTTGTTACCTAAGAGCGTGCGCACACTATTGACTAAACTTTCGCATAACTGTTTAATCTCGCTTTGATTTTGAGCTTATTTGGAGCAACTAAACAGTTGAATTAGCTGCGAAACAAACGACAGTCGCACAACAGTTGTGCGATAGAGTCAATGGTGTGCGCCCGCTCTAAATAGTAGTATTACAGTTACATTACAAACCTTTTTAATTTTGACCTCGCATTCGGCAGTGATTCAACGCTGTCTTTCAATATGAATCGCCGTATGCCCAACATGTACGCTCCGATGTAAGCATCCCAGTTGAATTGAGCAGGCCAGTGGGGGAACGCGCTGGAGTCGCTCGCACAGTTCGCTTCAGCGTGAAGAGCTGTGAGTTCCGATATGCCGAATTGCCATTCGTGGTTCGCGAAGTACTCTCCTGTAGCCGCCGCCATTTTGAATCGGCGAGCTAACTTCATCATTCTGCGAGTTGAAAAGATTAAAAATACAATTAATCGGATAAGAGATATTAAAAAAAAACTTTCATGATCATCATTCTTATCTTCTAAATGCGAAAGTTATGATGGATGGATGTTTGTTAGAGTTTGTAGCCTAAACTGCTGAACGGATCTCTATGAAATTTGGCATAGATGTAGGGGATAGTCTGGAATACATAAGCTATTTACTTTTGTTTTTTAATTCAACGAGGGTGGAGTCGTGAGCAAAAGCTAGTAATTAATATTTAAAAGGTTAAGGTGCTAGCAAGTGTAATTCTTTTATTTTTGCCTTATTTTGATTTTAATAACTTACATAGCTTTCCTGCCCTGTGCTCTCAGCAACATATCGAAGAGGAAGGCTGGCAAGAAGTGACAAGATATCTCCCAAAATGTATTCATAAAACGGGACTCGGTAAAGGAGAAATTCGGATACCACATGACGTATCTGTAAAAATAACATTGTGTAAAAACACAAACAAAATGTCCAAATTATCACCAAACATTTACAGTTTACTCACGAAAATAAAAAAAAAATAACTAGGTACAAATTGCGCCAGATTTTATGAAACGTCGCTAAAATTAGTGTTTTTGTATAATTCCGTACTGATATACTAACACTGCAATTTAATTACAAGCAGCATTGGTATAAAAGTTGACATTTCTTTCATATTACTAAAAAGGACTTACTTGGTGGGATTTTCCCTCGCCCATTTAATGCAGAGCCGTGTGAACTGACCCCACTGCAGAGGGTTGATGGATCCAGATGTTACGTTGTAAACTGGACAGCGGCCCGGTCTGAAATAGATCATAAATTTACCTAATTAACACTATGTAAATTGTACCATTATTTGAATAGTATTTCACTGGGTTGCCTGTAAGAGATTGCTCATAGCAATAAGGTCGCCCTTGCGCAAGTCTTTTAGATAATAGTTTTATTATTGTACATCGGGAAATCATTATCAATCATAATCATTACATCGAGAAAAGGTACGGCCACTTAAGTTTATTCATTCTAAACATTTTTTATGTTTAATAAACCAGCGCTTGACCTCGATCCCACCTATACCACCCCGATACCATAAAGTAAAGATGTGGTCGATCGATGGTACACGTTAGTTCAGTAAGTACTTATCCACATTGCTCTTGAAGGCAGCCACGCTATAACTGAACGGAACACTGACGTCGGAAACTTATTCGATCTCTAGATAGTTTTTCTATTAAAAAGTAAATTAACAGAAAAAATATACGAGCTACTCACTGTTTGCAACCTTGTCGCCATGCAGCAAGAATGCAGCTATTGACAACTAAGTCGACTGGGACCAGGTCGACTACGTACCGCTCTCGACAGTACCCGGAACGGTAAGTACCCCGAGATATCTCCATAATTATACCTGAAATGTTACATGTTTTCTAAAGTGTTATTACGTTAAAATTAAAAATATCTTAGATGAGATTACACTAGTTAAGAATTTTAACATCTGTACTAGTATTGTAAAGAAGAAAGATTTGTATTAATTGAAATAACTCAATAACTATTGCGCGGATTTTAAATGCTAACACCATTAAAAAGCTACGTTATTAGTAACATGGGCTGTATTTTTTAACTTCACGCAGACGAATACGCGAGCAGCAGCTAGTAAATAATAAATTAACATTTTTATATATTCCCTAATTTAGATATACAAGGAAAAACACTATATTTAATGTGTATTCTTACTAATATGATAAATGCGAAAGTTTAGATGAATGAATAAATGGATGGACGTTTGTTAACAGCTAAATGGATCTCGTTAAAATTTGGCACAGACATAGTACTCTAAAAAAATACATTTGCTACTTAATATTTTTTTTAATTCTCACGGGCAAAGTCGCGCTCACCAACGAGTAAAGTACAGTGCAATTATAATAATCTTTCAATAAACTAAACGCAATCCTATAAAGTTAGGAATTTACGTGGTAATTCCACTTTCTATAAGGCTGACAAGTAAGTTTTGAAGCAGGAAAATCGTGAGATTTCCAAGCAGTTTACTTTCCAAACTGGATGACTATTTCTGTACATTTGTATCGGTTTAATAAATACCGTTGTACATCAATAAAATACGATATTCTTTTAAAAATACTGTAGAAAATCTAATCTTGATCACTAACTTCAATAAATAGAAACATTTTTTTAACATTACGAAGCAGACGATCGGCGTGATACCGAGGTTATCAACAGCGCCCATGGAAATTCATAATACCAGAAGAACTACAGATAGGATTGCCGGTATGCTCACTTCTTGAAGGATATTACTTTGGCTTTAATGTATGAATAACAAATTAATACACACGTATATTATCAGGCTTCAGAAACATAGATTGTTAATTATATTCTCTCCTATTTCTCAAGAAATATTTAAATAGAGAAGCGAGACTACAATTTCCTCAAAGGCCGGCAACGCATCTGTAGTTCCTCTTGTGTTGCGGATGTCCATAGGCGACGTTTACCACCTCTGTGTTCCCGCCGCTAGTGTGCCCCATTCTCTTATAAAAAAGGTGTAAAATTTAAACTAAATCACACCTGTTACACCGTAGACATTATCTATCCAACCCGGGAATGGTTCTTGATACGCTGCAGTAACTGAAAAATTAAAAATATAAAAATGTTAGCGTAATTAATAGATTTGGGTACCTGCTTCTTTTGGAAGTAGGTCATAAAAATAAATAATGCACAATCCAATTTTATTTCGGTAACTTCAACATAAGTATGTCATGTCTAAAATATGTATTTGTAACTCTAACAAATACGTTTCTTTGACGATATGATTGCGTGAGACTTGGCATGTGTTGGACGATCGATGGTGACTTGATGACTATTTTATGAATGCCATGAGAAAAAGTGTAGCTACAATATCTGTCTTGAAAATAGTAATTGCTATCGATTTTATTGAAGGCCCTACAACATTGAAGACTTTTCTTTATTTGTTACAAACGTAAGTTTAAGAGCGGTGTGCGACGAAACAATTGACTATCGCACAACTGTCGATTGTTTCGTCGCGAATCAATTGTTTAGAAGCACAATTAAATTCGAGTAATGTGCGCATCTCAATATAAAGTCATAGGAATCCGACGCGACTAAACAGTTGTGCGATATTATATTTGTGCGCGATCTATGTACGTAATATTTCGGTGGGCGTGTTAAAGAAAATTAGAATCAAATTATATACATACATCATGCAAACAACGCAATACAATACGCATTATCATTGTTTACAAACTACAAAATAATTTTTGCAACCTCAATTCAACGATATTAAATTACGTTGTGTAACTGATATAAGTATGGATTTGAAATAATTTCGTAAAATAGTTAATGCCATCTCTAAGTTGTTTAATGAAGAAATACATTAGTTTGTAATATCAATTTACACAGCAACATATCTAAAATGCAATCAAATCTATCATAAACTTACCTATAGATGGTCTGACTATACAAACTGGTAGGTGTGTATGACTGAACACGATCGATTCAGCTAACGCTTTGGTAAGAGTGTATGGATTAGGATGTTCTCCCTGAAACAAATGAATGCTTGAATGATTTCCACGTGGATTGAAACCACATAGATACAAAAGAATGATTGAATGTTTTACCCAACTCAAAACATTTTCACATTACAAGATTGTAAAGTTACATTATTCACGAACTTAATTTATTCTGATTATATTGACGTGGGTTTTAACTGAAGTGACACATGTTATAATTCTTCGCATTCTCTTTGAACAAACAATAAAATGCCACAATATCTTAATTTAACTGGAAGCAGAATCGCAGTACAATGTGGAAGAATGTCGTATACGATATTACCTGTAAAGTTTCAGCAATAGTATCGACGGTGTCTGCCGGCAGCATTTTAGTGCACCGCACTATACTATCAGGGTCGTAGGGCGGCGGGTAAACACGCTCCTCGATGTGACTACGCGGCGCGTTGCTGTACGCTGTAGATACGTGGACTAGAGCCTAGAAGTACACTTGATTGCATTAATAACATACTCAAAAAATCAAATATTAAATAAAAGCCAATTGTTACCTTTAACAGAGGCATATCAGAAGCCAGTTTTAGTAGATACGCAGTGCCTTGCACGTTAAGCGCTGTAGCTGCTTGCAATGGTTCAGTGAATTTGACAGTAGCCGCTGAATGGAACACAGTGGTGACCGTGCTTAGCAGCTCTCGTTGTTCAGCACTGACGCCCAGGTTCGGTGCCGATACATCACCGGTTATTGGGAACAGCTTTCCTAGACGCTCCGGCCAACGCGCGCGGATACGGTCGAATACCTGATTGTTATTCGTTTTTGCTTAGAACAATATGCTAAACATAGAAATCTGATATGAGATCTAAGGCAAAAAGACCAATATTTTTTTACTGGGAGCAATGGAATTGAAATTCTAGTATAAAACTAAGATCTAGAATCTTGGATTCGTACTCATGCCATGAATTTTGATATCCTAGGCATTCAAACAACAAGCTTATATTATTGTTTTAGGCTTTTATTTATGTCGAGCTTTGTATTTATAACTGTTGGAGACATCTTCTAACAAATACATATTTACTGTAATGTGATAACAATAGAAGAAAAACATTTGCGGAGAAGGTAAAGGTTTGCGGAATGAATAATATTTTGAAATGGTTCATAATTGTATAAATAAATAAAAAAGCATACAAACCTTCAATAAATAATAAAACATCATACCTGGTTTTTAAGGAGTTCCTTATACCTTTGTTCGACAGATAAGCCTCGCTTCGGTCTCATCAGGACGTAGATAATTTCAATGCCAGCACAACTTCTCAACAGCTTTTCTAATAACGCTTTTCCTACGAAACCCGTACCTCCAGTAACCAGTATAACTGCGCCCTCGTAGTAATCAGATATCGCCTCATTGCTTTGGTTATAAGTTCCGAAGTTACATTCCTTATTTAAATTCGGTGTAAACGGATCGTTTCCGTTTAGGCAATCCATGTTTTTTCTGTATAAATAATAGAAATTTAGAATCGTAGTAAGTTACAGAGACTTTAAAATAGTTTATTACTATTGCTATGTTAAGTGATTAAAATCTTAACGTCATCACTTATTTTCAATTGAATAAATATTCAATATTATGACACAATGTTTAATCTAAGTTTGTAAAGTTATTAAGGTTACTTACTGGTAAATATCCATTTTACAATTTTTTTTATTTTAAAAATCTGTAATTTCCAATGTTCGTCACTGCTTCCGCAATATTATTTCTGAAACAAAATTCATTCAAAACAATTTACATGAACGACTATTCTAAAAGTATATCGTATGGTGTTGTTAGAATCAGCGTTCAGTCACTTGAAGGATTTTTTAAAATCATGTCCTCATAATTAATAACTTTGAAATCTTACATGTAACATAAGCACGTTACAAAATAGACAGGAATTATTTTAAAATGTTGTTCACACAACATATCATCATACAAGATTCACCGTAGATTAGACATCAACGCGTTACGGGACAAATTAAATTTACGCGTAAATTGATTATTTATGCGTACTAAACTGTTACTGAGTCAAGGTAAATCAACGAATCGGTCAATATGTTAAACGGGGAGATTGTAAAAGTGAAGTTTTGAATTTCGCCACAGAAATGTTGTAATGTTTGCACTTTGTGTTGTGATTTTGTCGTATATTCTATAGGTGATTTCGTGATATCATTTATGACAACTGTGATGATGTTGCAGATTTTATACTCGCATATCAAAGGTCACGTTTGGATAAGATAGTATGAAATGTGCTCTACAAAATGGGCTTCTTTGTCATCTTTGTTAAACTATCTGAAGGCGCGGCAGTGCTTCCGTCTCCGTAACGGCATCTTGCAAATCGTAATTGAATTTAAAATTCAGAAATTATTTTATAGTAATAGAAATCTTAGTTTTAAGTTAACAATCACTTAATAACGTTCGAATATTCCAGCTTTTCATTTAATTTACATTGATATCAAAAGCAGTTACCAAGGTAATGTTTATCACATACATGCACACACAGTTACAATTTTTCATTTAAGTTTTATTATGGTTTTGAGACATAAGTATTGTAACTGATGGTTTTAAATTTCAAGATCAGTCAATATCAAGATGGTGACAGATTCTATTTATAATACCAATAAACGATCAAATCTGATTAAACTAAGGCAAACATGACAAAACGATATATCGCTGCAATTTGAACGCTCATTGCCCTGCAGTGTGAGCTAGTATTATAACAACCAAACCAAGATTGGTTGATTGCTCACTAAGAAGACCCAGAGTTTAGATTTTTTATACATCTACACCAAGGTAGTGAGGAAAATCTGATATTAAGTTAGGATGCGTTGTCACTTAAGGATAGTATTAGGTAAGTAACAGATATAAATTTATAATGCAAGCTGCGACGTCTAATGGTCTATTTACTTCATCTTGAAAACATACGATATAAGAGATTTTAGTAGTCAAAACTGCGCGATTTAAATGGCCGGTTTAAATGGTTTAATTAAAAAAATGGTATAAAGTATCAAGTAAATTTTTATTAAATATATTTGTAAATTGATAACACTTGCAGTTATTTAACGACAGAGCTTATAAGTTCTGATATTTTTATCAAAGAGAAATCATGAATCTTTCGGTCGAACAATTATTTAAAACTTGGCGGATTCAGGTGGCCGCTTGCTCGTTTGACACCTTATGATAAAAAAATTCATGAAACCTGGGGAAACCCATGTAGAATGTCTTTGGGGTAAATTAAGATTTTTTTAGTAAAAGCTTCGGCGTCAAAATATTACGTAAAAATTAATGCATTTAACATTTTTCTCTCTTGGATATTAATTTGTTATTTAAATAAACTTAATTATAGAAGAAATGACAATTTTAGATTCTTAAAAACTAGTTGTAATTATTTCTAATTCAAAATAAAATACCGAAATTGATTACTCAAATTAAAAAAAAAACAATACAAATAACACTCACCATTAATATTGGGAAACACTCGACGATAAACGGTATGCAAAAAAAAATTATATCATTTTTTTTAATCCTCGCCGCACTACGTTTGCGAGTTAACCGGCTCGCGTCGCGGCCTGGCTTTCACTGCTGTCGACTGGTCACGTAATAGCCCCTGTAATATCAACAGAACATACGACTCTATTTTGCCCACAACCGTTTATAAACGTACAAAAAATTTTGTTTGCATTGTTTTAACGTTTTATTACATATATTTGCTAGCCATGTTGTTTATATTTATTTTCGAAAATTAAGTAAAAGATTATATGATATAATAAAAAAATTTGTTTAATTTCTATAAAGTCTGATCAAATACACGACTTAGTAACATTTTTACTCATATTATTTTATTGCCATAATTTTATATTATTTATGAGAGTTCTTTGGTTTACTTAATAACAGTTATCGATAAAATAAACACTTTGGCAAACAAAATTGATATGTTTGTATTGTAATTTATTATTTCTTTTTTGCTAAAGTAGGTATACTATCTTTTTTGCTCTCACTCTCTTTCTCTTTGCATTGTTTCCTTATTCCGGAGGGTCGCGATCTCTCTTCTCTTGTAGTGTTTCTCCATTTGCAGTTCTTATATGCACTACCGCAGACAAAAATCATCAAAGCAAAATAAATTCATCTATTATCTATATATTTTCATTATCTTTATTGTATATGTTTGTCAAATTAAGACATAATAACTAGAAAAAGAAAACTATATCAAAGTTTATGCGTAATATCGTGACGTATGTTCGTTCACGTAAGTATAATGAAATGTTTAGCCATCCGTTACCACGCATGAACACATTTAAAAGGGCTTTTGATTTGTACATTATTATGAAAATATCAACTAAGAAAATCACAGATCATGAATCATTTTTGATAAAATATATAATGTTGCAATTGTCGGTCAACGTCAATCGAGATCCGGGCATCGTAAGATTTCCTGTCCTGGTTTCGTTTGTTTACAAGATTGTTTATTCATAAAAAATCCATGTTCAGTTTCTTTCATTAATTATACTCGATTTATAAGAGAGTAACATTCTCGTACGATATCGTACTAATCTGAGTAATATCTTAAATTCGAAAGTTTAGATGGATGGATGGATGCTACAGTTTGTAGCCTAAACTGCTGAAGGGATCTCGATGAAATTTAGTATAGATGCAGAGGACAGTCTGGAAGAAATCAGGCTAATGACTATTAAGTTTTATTTTTAATCCAAGCTCACCAAAGCTTGTGCAAATATATTTTTATTGATGTGGGGTTTTTATTTCATTTTGTAGTTTACACTGTTTAAACCCGCAACGTAATCTAAAAATGGCCTGAGCAGTCGAACAGTTTAGTTAAAACTGTTGTGTGTAGGAAAATTTTAACTGTTTGTTGAACTGTCTAGTTAACAATCCAACTGTTTAAAACTGGACATCTGTAGCGGGCTTTATGGTTATTCCTACAAACGTAAAAAAAAATACATGTCTCGTGAAACTATTACGAATGTGTTAGGAAATAATCAGAATTGTAACAATTATAGTTTTAATGGATTCCATTTGTGACGTAGGAATTCTCGTAATATAAAACACGCACTATCCTATTACGCGATGTCTAAATATTACATGGTCTGTTGATAGATCGTCATAAAATAAAGTTAACTTGAATAAGGCACTATTTTTTATTAGCCAATAGATGTCTACTTTTTTATAAGAAAAAGGTACAAACGATTGGCTGAAAAACCGAGGTGTTTATTGCCCATGGCATCCTTAGCGCCATAGGCACTACAGATGTGTACCTTAAGAAATAGATACGATTGCTTCTTGCAGGACATTAAGCCATACAAGTTTATTAAACCCAGTTTCCCACCAAACATCGTGTCTTAATCCGCTCTGTAGACTAACAAAAAAGAATTACAGCCTATTTGAAAATTGTAAAAACCTATTATATTCCATTATCCTTGTAAGTAGTTATTTACACTTTCTACATAAATGTCGACTTTAACACGAAGTTGGAACTGTGATGGTCAAAAAACTTTCGACAGTAACACAGAAGAATTGTTTTTTATACGTGTTTCGTCAATGGAAGCTCACACTAACAGCTCACTGTCAACTCTGTATCAATGAATGTTAAAAGTAGCGCTTACGGATACCGCGTAGGGCGGATGTGACTTGACGCAACTTATGTCATAACTTAACGAAATAATGCAAACAGAAATAGGAAAGTTGTAATGTCGGTCACCGCTTAGACATAATCTAAATAAGAATTATGTAATACATGCCGACGTGATAATACATAAATATATAATATGCAATTATTACAAAAAAAACGGCGTATAATTTTGTAAAAATTTTGTAAAAAAATTTACATACGATAGCCGCCCAACTTTGTATTTGCCAATGAAATATTGAAAGTTATATTAAAAAAAAAACATACAGACGAATTGAGTACCTCGTTCTTTTGGGAAGTCGGTCAAAAAGAATTGCTATGATGCTATGATCGTGACAGTGAATAAAGTATATCGTAAATGTAATTAATTTAATATCTAGTTGTCATAACATCAGTCGGAGTCATTAATTTTCATCAATGCATCAGTAGTTGAAACTGCTTTTAAATTAAATCGCTTAACATATTTTTTTATACTGTATTGTCTCGGTTCGCCTTGAAAAGGCATTTAGACATTTTCAAGGAAAGCTTCACAGGGTATGAGGTGGCCGAGCGCAAAAGAGAAGGCAAAACATCATTACCGAAGAGATCATAGACGCTCATAGATATCCCCAATACTAGATACAGTAGCGATGTCGGCCTTTTAGAAGGTTAGCGTCTTGAAGAACCCTAACTTGTAGCGGTTTGAAAATACCGCCGACAACATATCTTTCCACACCGCACACACCCTTTATTCAAATGTATGTACATTTTCACGAGTACCATGGCAATAATAGAAAATACTATAGATCAATTCAAATAATTATGAAATACAGAAATTAATTTATACCACTGATACTACAAAAAGATATTTCGTTGTAAAATACAGTCGTCATTTCGTTATGATAATAGACCGTTTACGTTCCGTTACACAAAATCATTGGTTTGTAACGTGCCGAATTTGCCAAGAACGTGGACTAGGTCAAGCACAAAAATAACTTTTTTTTAGATTACATTAGTTGAATTAAAATTTATTTAATTTGTCATTACGTAATGGAGACAATTTAATGGGTAATAAATGAAACTAGTTAATAATAATTAACTAAATAATTTATGTTTATTTAAAGTAAGTTAGAACTCCTCGGTGAGGACGTTCACATGTATCTGAGCAGAGACAATTAAAAAGTCAAAAACTCGTAGACACTTCATTAAGAATACGAATCGATTTTAACCTCACATATGACATTCGGTCAAATCGTTTTGGTTAGAATATCTTTAATAGCCCATATATCATTTTAAATATTAAATTAAGATTAAACGTAGTTGTTATAGCGTCCTAATGTATAGACAACAGATATACTCGTATTATGATATCGATCGACACATCGAGGACAGACGAAAACTTTGTCCGACTCACGAATATTATAAAGAGGATTTGTATCTTACTATGTAATGTATAAACTCAAAAACTACTGCACCAATTTTAACAATTATCTCACCTTTAAAAGCTACATTATCACTGAACAACATAGACTATACTTAATACTAGCTGTCTCTCGCGACTTCGCCAGCGTGAAATTAAAAAATATACCCTATGTTACTTACAGATAAATTACCTTTCCAACTGTGGAAGAATTTTTAAAATCGGCCCAGTAGTTTTTGGGTTATTTCAATTCATACAAAAGTACAAATCTTTTCCCTTTATAATATTAGCATAAACATAAAAGTAGTCTAGTATGAGAACAGGTAAGGTTTATTCTGGTGTCATTTTCTCCTGGTTGTACATTCTCCCTTAACTCTTTATCACAAGTGTCATTTATTTGATAAATATTATTTACAGCCTCATAACATGCGATATTGGTACTGTATTCAAACCATAAATACTAGAATCATATAACAGAATATCGTATAGCATTTCACCTGATTGTAGTTGGTTTTGCGGTTAACAGACAATGCCACGTGATATATGATACTTGTAGCTTAGCGATTGACATATTTACTTATTGCAGATAGCGATCCAATATGGGTCTTGTCTACAAGAGATCATTAACGTATATGTGGTAAATCCCGCTTTAACATCTTCGCACGAATGGGTCGGCGCGTCCGGTGTCTAATACCACGACCACACAGAAGACAGGTGTGAAGTGGGAGCCACTCCACGTTTCATCTGATGATTGTGGTGCCGGAGGCCCAACTTTAGTCCCTTTTTCTTCCCACCGTTTTTCTCATAAGGGTAGGATGGAAAGGGAACGTGTATTTGACGGTGGAGGAGACGAATAGTAATGTTCTCTTTGTGTGCGTCTCCTCCTCCGTCGATTAAAAGTAGGCAACACATCTTTTATTGCGAATGTCCACGGGAAGCGGTCGCTTCGCCATTTTGGCGGATTTAAGTGGTTGCTTGCTTTGCGACCTTATGATATAATAAAAAAAAATAACCCTGCCTGTCCTGTGCCGTCTTCAGCGATTCAATCGCTTATAGCTTACGTTCTACAACGTCGCAGCTGATCTGCGGATTGGCGGTCAATCTGGTGTCGAGATATGCGAATTGACATATTTAGTTACATAAAAATTAATCATCATACTAATATAGAAAATTTTTAACAATTTCATTATTATCCTTCGACTTCATTATCAGTTAACTTTAGGTTGGATCGTGGTCAAGTACAAATTTAAAGATTATAAAAAATGTTTGAAGAATATAGGTGGCGCATTCGTCAACTCCTTACCAACAAGGGTACTATGTAGCCTCGCGATCACCGTGATGTATATTAAATATGTATATATTAAATATGATTACATAACTAGCTTTCGCCCTCGACTTCATCGGCGTAGAATTAAAAAAAAAAGTGAGTAACCAATGTGTTCTTCCAGACTGTCCTCTATATCTGTACTAAATTTCAACGAAATCTGTTCAGCCGTTTAGTCTGCAAACTCCAACAAACATCATTCCATCCATC